TTCCCTCCATCACGACTCAACCTAATTCAGCAAATACTTTGTTCAAGCCACAACTCCATATAAGAGGTCCCTCGGGGGTTCATGAGAGGCTCCTATTCTGCCTGGACACAAACAATACTTATTACTTATATTTATTAATATAATGCTCAACAGCAAAAAATATCCCATAATTTTATGTTTTGAATATCAAGCCTTCTCTTTGGTTGACTCCCTAAGACCTCCCTTTTAATTAGTCTGTTTCCTCTTTTCAAAAAAAATAACTGTAGCCATTTTCCACTGTACTTTTAAGCATAGAATATCACAGTCACGCATTGCTCCTTCCTGCTGTGACTGTTTGCAGGAGCTTCATCCTAATGATGGGAAAAGGCCTCAAAGTCTTGTAATTGTAGGGCCCTGATTAATGAACTCTGCCTCTCAGGATCTTCTTTTGAAGATCTTTCCAAACCTTTCATTTGGCACCTTCATTCAAGTGGAATGTCTGAAGCTTGGTGGATGGCGTGTTTTAGTGTAAACCTTTTACTGTCCAACACATGCCCTGAGAACAAAGGGAGTTTGTTTGCAGAGGGTACGGAGTAATTGGGACATGACGTTTACATTTCTAGGGACAGGACTGGGCTGAGCGTGTAAATCTGTGGAGGAACTGGGGGGCGAGGGGGAGGTGATGGAGGTGGAAGACAAAAGAGAGAGAAAGCATGATCTCTGCCCCGGTGGGGGCTGCTACAGAATTTGATGCCCAGCCCCAGACTCTCCCATCCTCACATCCTTTTTACTGTGATTTCCTTTTCCACAAGGAATGTTGGCTATTCCTGTATTTAATTTCTTCCTAATATGGATCAAGGAGGAAGGAATCACAGGCAACTGCCACCTGGGACTTCACACTTTAAGACTTAAATGTGGACTCCTGAGATTGCTGCCTCCCTACCTTTTATGGATAAGGTTGGATGAGATCATAAAAACAATTTGTAAACTTGCCATAAAAAGAATAAGGCACAAGCAAGTATCTAGAACGGTAGTTCTCAATCGTATCAGACCCACTATCCCCTTTTTTTTATAATGAAACATCCCCTTCACTGTCCTGAAATGAAATCCATATATGATATAATCTACCCACAGACACACAAAAGTTTAACTAACATAAGGCTCTAAGTGTAATATAAAGGAGAAATAAAATTAGAGTTAAGGTTTATGTTCAAATAATTATAAATAGGTTTTTCACCCACATCAGTGCCCTGGAGGATATTTGAAAGTTGAACAGGGCCTGGTGGGCATGGCTCAGTGGTTGAGTGTCGACCTATAAACAAGGAGGTCACGGTTCAATTTGGGGTCAGGGTACATGCCTGGGTTGTGGGCTCGATCCCCAGTTTGGGGTGTACAGGAGGCAGCTGATTGATGAGTCTCTCTCATTATTGATGTTTCTATCTCTTTTTCCCTCTCCCTCTCCCTTCCTCTCTTAAGTCAATAAAAATATGTTTTTTAAAAAGACAAAAGAAAGCGTTAGCTGGTTTGGATCAGTGGATAAAGCATCAGCCTGTGGACTGAAGGGTCCCAGGTTTGATTCTGGTCAGGGGCACATGCCTGGGTTGCAAGCTCGATCCCCAGTAGGGGGCGTGCAGGAGGCAGCCAATCAATGATTCTCTCTCATCATTGATGTTTCTTCTTCTCTCCCTCTCCCTTCCTCTCTGAAATCAATAAAAAAAAAAATATTAAAAAAAGAAAAAAGAAAGTTGGGCAGGACAATTTCTTTGTTCTATGGAATTGTTTCACACATCTGTCAATCTTGGCCCCCAGCCACCAGTTGGTATGGCTTCGATCATTGTGATAAGCAAAAATGCTCCCACAACCCACGGAACACGTCCTAAAAGGTGACACTGCCCCTGTTGAAAACCACTGGTCTCAGTAAGAGTGCCTGTTTACCTTGGTTGGGATTCCCACGTATCAGCCAAGATACACTTGTCATACTCCCAGCGAAGAGCTCCAGGGCCTGGCAAGCCTGAAGTCAACAAGCATGCCTTTTCTATTTGTATACAACTATTTTTAGGCCACTAGTTTTAAAATAGTACACACTTACACACCCCATATTCATCAAGGTCTCTAACCACGTAGAGTGATGAGGCTTTGGTCAGGGAGTGGCCATGCTATGCATGTACTGATAGTTATGTAGAGTGAAGTAGAGGAAGCATTTATTTTGTGCCATATTTAAAACGTAGGAAGGTGGAAATGATGGGTGTGTCAATGTGGTAAGTTGCTAAGAAGGGCTAGTTGGCTTTGCACGTTGTTTCCTGGTCCTGGCTGACCCTCAATTAAAGGAGACTCTGAATTGTAAACATTTTTTCCCCTGGCCAAGGACAGGCACTAGTATTTGCTTCTTTTTCTGCCTGCTGAATACAAAATTGAGGCCAAACAGGGACCCAAAGGGAATAAGTCCCCTTACCAATATGCCCTTGACATACATCCCTAGTTAGGATCAATTGAAATATTTAGCAGACACTTATAAAGCTACTGAGTTCTGGCCAAAAAGGGGAAAAAGGTATGTTGTGGAAACTTCTGTGAGTCACCCACCAGCATTTACCAAGAGGTCAGTGTTTTGCTGCCAAAATAAGCTAATATTTGAATGGAAGATGACTTTTAAACAATCTAAGGGAATACTTAAACAGCAACATCCCTCTACACCATGACCTATAATATTACATTTGCCCCTTTTCATCCAAGAGTACGTTTGCTAGCTTAAACCCCAAGTATGGTTTCTGGGTGGTAGTCCATCCTATATAATAAAAGCCTAATATGTGAATCAACCGAACGGCAGAATGACCAGTGGAACAACCGGTTGCTATGATGCGCACTGACCACCAGGGGACAGATGCTCAATGAGGAGCTGCCCCCAGCCTGCAGGCCAGGCCAGCCAAGGAAGGTGCCAGCAGGGGGCCCCTGACCGCCCTGCCAGTCGCCCCACAGATTGGCCCTGACCCCCAGCCAGGCCTAGGGACCCTACCCGTGCAAGAATTTCATGCACTAGGCCTCTAGTTAAGAATAAAGTGTATTTCAAGTCTACATGTGTTTCAGGAAACCCTGATGACAGCTATGTGGCTCAGCTTCTGTGCCCTGAGAGGCTAATTCAGCCGTGGGCAAACTACGGCCCGCGGGCCGGATTTGGCCCGTTTGAAATGAATAAAACTAAAAAAAAAAAAAGACCGTACCCTTTTATGTAATGATGTTTACTTTGAATTTATATTAGTTCACACAAACACTCCATCCATGCTTTTGTTCCGGCCCTCCGGTCCAGTTTAAGAACCCATTGTGGCCCTCGAGTCAAAAAGTTTGCCCACCCCTGGGCTAATTAAAGCTCAATCATGAGATCCCAGCAAAGCAGATGGGAGGTTAGGGGGGACAGACCTGGACAAAGTGGGATCCTGCAGGAGGAAACTGGCTTGTATTAAAAAGGCCCCCACCTTTTAAGGGCAATGCCACCTCAAACTTCTAATATTCCACCACCTACAACAGTTTAGATTCCCTGAACTTTCATATCGCTGATCATGTGGTATCATATCGCTGATCATGTGGTACAGACCGTCCCCTGATCTTTCCTTCCTGGACATGTCACCAGGCATGCGGTAGACCTCCTTAGAGGAGAAACAAGGGGGCCAGAGAACAGCCTCATAGGACTCCTTTGAATGACTACTCCCTTACGCAGTAAGCCCTTGGGACAATGAGGTTCTGATCCACATCAACAAAGCCTCAGGTCTCTGACCACAGAGACAGAGTTTTGGTTAAATTAGAGATAACATCTAGGCCTCACTTATGTTTTAGCTCCAGTCCCAGAAGAGCAGCAAAACTAGACAAAATGACGCCATGACTGACATCAGGACCAGCTGCAATGACTAATGACTCCCTACCCTGGTGCTGACCAATCAGTAGAGACCATGATCCTGAAAGGACACATCTGAAAAAGCTGATGAATTCTATTGAGATCCTCCCCAGAGACCGCCCCCCCCACTAAAATCCCCGCCTTTGGAAACTGATAAAACCCTTAATATAAAGAACCCAGTGAGTGCGCTCACGCGCGAGCCCTCTCTCTCTCTCTCTCTCTCTCTCTCTGATTCCCCCCCCTCCCCCCCTCTCTCTACTGATGGATTGGTGGGCACCAGAGCACGGGGTCATTATTCAATGCCGCTGGTCTTGACACCATGGCTGATTTTGTTGCTTCTGTGGGCCTGGAGCTGAAATATAACTGAGCATAGATGTTCTCTAGGGAGGAAAGGTCAGGAGGTCCAAACCTCTTGGCCAGCAATATGCTAGGGGAGGAAAAGTCACCTTGGGGGTGAGCTTCCACCCTACAACAGATTGTCCATTGCTAGGCACCTGGGGCTTTCCAACCTGATGACCTTCTGTACCAGGCCCATCGTCCTTGCTCTGCTCATGTCTGTCCAACTGTCTACAACATAAACCACATGACCAACAATATACTATACTTGGGGAGGAAAGGTCACCCTGGAGGCAAGGTCCCACCCTGCAATACTTGTGTTCCCAGGCTTTTGTATGTGTGTGTCTGTTTTTAATCCTCAACTAAGGATATGTTTTTATTTCTTTTTTTTTTTATTTTAGAGAGAAAGGAAAGAGGGAAGAAAGGGAAGGAGAGAAGAAGGGAGGGAGGGAGGGAAGGAGGGAGGGATGGAAAAGGGAGGGGGGAAAAGAGAGGAAAATAACTAAGGATTTGAGAGAGAAACATCTATCGGTTGCCTCCCGTATGTGCCCCAACCAGGGATGGAACCTACAACCTAGGTGTGTGCCCTGACTGGGAATCGAACCCGAAACCAGAACAGCAGTTCCACAGATCTGGTGGTGATATGAATGGGTTTCCAATCTCTGATCCTTGTACGATCTGGATTGTCCACCATTAAAATCACTTACAACACCATAATACAGCATAAAATATATAGACAGCTTGAAAAAATGTAGTGAGAAAAACTTTCAAACCATAACTGTTGTGTTTTTCTTATCAGTACCTGGCTCCAAGAGTGGTTCTTCAATATCCTAATTAAAAAATAAAAGAGAAAATAATGATCAACATAATTTGATGAACAAGAATAGATCCAGAGACAAATGGCAAGGGGGGGGGAGGGGTTAGAGAGCAACCAAAGGACTTGTATGCATGCATATTAGTGTATAGGATGACGCTCCAACCAATTGAGCCATCTAGTCAGGGGGGAAACACTTTTTTTAAATAAATAAAATGTAATCAGTGGATCAAAACACTATGATAGGCACTGTATTGTGAGGAGCATCAGTGACGGGGAGAGGCTACAAATTAAAAAAGGAAAAAAGGGTTTGGATCCCATCCCTGAGAAAGCCAGTTAAGCAGCAGGAGCCTCTGAGCAGATGTGGAAACTGAACTGGTCTTGGAAGGAGGGATGTATAGGGAGTTGGGAAAGAAAATTCCAGGCAGGCAAATGCCATGAGGAAGGACCCTGAATACACTTGGCACATGTGGAAAATAACTGAGTAGCTTGAGCAGACCAATTTATCTGGAGTAAGACACCCATATAGGAGAGGGTAAGTAAGTCGATTAGGTCTATTTTACTGTAGGCTGAAATGTCAGGCTGGGACATCTGACTTGTTCTGAGCACAGTGGGGAACCATTTACAATTCTAGGGACGCGATGAAAACAGCATTTATAAATGTGTGGAGAGAATGACAGATGGGTTTCTCAAGCAGCCACATACACACGACATCACCGGGGGTCCTGCTAAAGTACAGATTCTGATTCGGCAGGTCTGGGGTGCAGGCTGAGAGGCTGCGTTTCTGACATGTGCCCCAGGGATGCCCAGATTGCTGGTCCTCGGACAGACTGTGAGTAGCGGGGGATTAGGGTATGGTTCTAAATTCAAGACATCCACTGGGCTGTAATACTGAAACAGAAAGAGAAAGCATGCCATAAAAAAGAAAAAAAACACTTTTTACAAATTTGTTATTCTAATCTGTTCATTTGTTTACAAGGAACAAACATTTCTCACTCGACCCGCTTAAGTAAAAAGGGTGACTCTAGCCCTGGCCAGTGTTCTCAGTGGTTAGAGCAGTGATGGTGAACCTTTTGAGCTCGGCCTGTCAGCATTTTGAAAAACCCTAACTTAACTCTGGTGCCGTGTCACATATAGAAATTTTTTGATATTTTCAACCATAGTAAAACAAAGATTTATATTTTTGATATTTATTTTATATATTTAAATGCCATTTAACAAAGAAAAATCAACCAAAAAAATGAGTTCGCGTGTCACCTCTGACACGCGTGTCATAGGTTCGCCATCACTGCCTTAGACAGTGGTTCTCAACCTTCTGGCCCTTTAAGTACAGTTCCTCATGTTGTGACCCAACCATAAAATTATTTTCGTTGCTACTTTGCATCTCTCTCACATAGATGTTTCTCTCTCTCTCTCTCTCTCTCTCTCTCTCTCTCTCTCTCTCTCCCCCCCCTCCTCCCCTCCCTCCCACTCTATCTAAAAGCAATAGAAAATACCCTCCAGTGAGGATTAACAAAAACCAAACACAAACAAAAACAAAGGCAGTGTCTCTTGAACCCAAAGAAATATTTTCCATCCTGGTTCTCACTGCTCTTTCCTAGAACCCAGTCCCGTTGGTACACCTCCCCCCAAAACACAACAAAACAAAACAAACCACCACCACCAAAAAACAAAACACCTAAACAAACAAGCAAACAAACAAACAAACAAGGGTGTCTCTGAAAAGAAACATGGGAGAATCTGGCAGAAAGCAATGCAGTGTGGCAGAATGTCTGCAGGAAATGGAAAGGCACCAGGCAGTGTTCTCTCCATCCAGCTGATTCTGTGCTTTCCTGTCTCTTCTGCTTTCTCATCAGTTTGCCCATTAGGACTCTCAGTCCTGACTCTAACTGCCACTTCAAGCATCGGCTACCATCTTACTACAGGGGCTTAAGTCTCCATTCAGCTTCTCAGGACAGAATCAGAATGGACCCGTCTTTGGACTGGTCCTCAGCATAAGGAGTCCTTCTCTGGTCCAATCATCTGTTACGGTGGCAAAGTCTCCACATAATATTTCAGGGATGAAGCGAAGGAGAGTTGGAAACAGCAGGCAAATTGGCCAACAGGATGCTAAACTGGAGAGACTCTCAGGTTCAACTGAGGCCTCTAGATGTCTAGCACTTCCCATGCTCTAAAGGCAGGTGTTTCTCTGAACAAGTTAAGACATTGAGAAACCAGTTCTGCCAGCCTTCAGCCTTCATTCGCTTCCAGACTATATGAGCTGGTGAAAAATTCAGAGATTGAAGAAGCAGGTGCCGAGGTCTGTTCCCAGCTTTTCTGTGCATTTCCTCCCCCCTGCCGCTGTGCAAGAGATTGAAGAGGGGAGCTCATATCCTTCAAATCTGGGGGTTTTCAAGAGTCTCATTTGGAGAGCAGGGATCCCTTGAGAATCTGGGGGTACATGGAAAATGGTATCTCACTTTGAAAAGTCTAAAAGTGAAAGGCTGTGGCTACATCAGCCAGGGATAGCAGAGCAGCAGAAGGGAGGGAAGACAGAAGGAGAGATGCAGTCCCAGGAGTCAGCTGCACTCACACTGATGGGAGGTTGGGGGGGACAGACCTGGACAAAGTGGGATCCTGCAGGAGGAAACTGGCCTGTATTAAAAGGGCCCCCTCCCCTTTTAGGGGCAATGCCACCTCAAACTTCTAACATGGACTAGACTTCTTACTATTTGAGAATCACCAGAAAGGTATGAGACGGGCCCAAGATTTTATCCAAGGTGTGTGGAAGGGGACTCTTCAGAGCTGGTTTAAATAGAGAATGGGAGTGGTGGTGGAGGGGTCCCACCCGCGCCCTACTAAGTCCAACATGTTCTTTAAACCAAATGTAAAATGATGTCACTCCAATGGTGTTTGCAGATTCCAGGCGCTAATTAAGTGGAGAATAGTCCAGCAGCCTGAAAACAGAACTTGGAGTTGAAAAAAAAATTTTTTAATCCTCACCTCAGGATATTTTTCCATTGGTTTGTAGAGGGAGTGGAAGGAAGAGGGCAAGGCAGAGAGAAATATCAATGTAAGGGAAACACATTGATTGGTTGCCTCCTGCACGAAACCTGACTAGGGCCCTGGGGCCAGGGAGGAGCAACCAAGGTATGTGCCCTTGACTGGAATGGAACTCAAGCCAATGCTCTATTCGCTGAGCCAAACTGGCTAGGGCTGGAGTTGAAAATTTGTTAGTCAACTTATACTTCTTTCTTGAGATAAAACAGTGCTTCATTTGTGATTTAGAACCCAACAAAAAACTCTCTAGAAGCTCCAATGAAGTAGATCTATAGAAAAGGGACTCATGAATCAAAAAAGAATGACAGAAGGAAAGAAATAAATATTCTCACTTCTATAAAAGCTGCACATGGTTTCCTACTGAAAATTATGACCAACTAGAGAATGGAGAAGCTAGCTGAATAATAAGTATCATGTAAAGTAAGTCCTCACTTAATATAGGTTCTGTGACTTGAAGCAAAACGGTATAAGAAGAAACTGAAACCGTACAACAAATGGGTCCAGCCTGCCTGTAACTACTGGAGCCAATAAACCAGAGACAGGGTTGAATCATATGTAAGCATTTATTCCAATAATGCTGGCAGTATGGGGGAGAAGCATATCATCCATGAAAATCTGCTCTGCTCACCCCCCACCCCCATAAGCCAGCTACTTAGAAGGACAAAGATTACGTGGGGAAGTAGGCAAAAGGAATAAAAATTAGCATAATGGTTACAGATTATAGGCAATTTGGACTGGGGAGTTGCAAAGGGCTCCATGTACTCCATTTTTTTTTTAGCAACAAGGTTGTTAATCTTTCCATAATAGTGTGGATGAAAGGGACCACATACTAATCCAGGGGTGGGCAAACTTTTTGACTCGAGGGCCACAATGGGTTCTTAAACTGGACCGGAGGGCCGGAACAAAAGCATGGATGGAGTGTTTGTGTGAACTAATATAAATTCAAAGTAAACATCATTAAAAAAAAGGGTACGGTTTTTTTTTTTTTAGTTTTATTCATTCCAACCAGGCCGGATCCGGCCCGCGGGCCGTAGTTTGCCCACGGCTGACCTAGGGCCAGGGGGAAGGGAACAATGGGGACATTATTGTTTAATAGGTATGGAATTTGAGTTTGAGATGATGAAACATTCTGGAGAATGGACAGTGTTCATGGTTGCACAGCAGTGTGAATGTATTTGATGCTGCTGAACTATACGCTTAAAAATGGTTAATAGGGAAAATTTTATGCTAGGTATATTTTACCAGGATTTAAAAAAGTAAAGTAAACCAGTGAGATGCACCTATGAAAAAACAGTGGTACAATCTGGATGTACAAGGCAGGATGATGTCTTTTTGCTGTTATTTTCTTTTCATTTTTACCTATTTATTTACTAGCTACTTATTTAAAATTTACTAGATAAATTGTATCTAATATAGTCATTCTTAAGTCTTAGAGTTATTTCTTAGAGTTACTGTAGATATTTATATGTTATAGATTACTACCATAGGCCAATTTGGAACAGAAGATTCTAAGTACACTTCCCTGTAGATTCTGTCTTAAGGAGGGGCATTCTTTATTAATTAATGTTTTTGGCCTTTTGTCTTACTTTAACCTTTGACATCTCCAATTCGTGCAGCAAATATTTATTGTGTGCCTACTATAATGTTGGGGGCATTGGGACTGTAGCAGTGAACAAAACACAAATAATCCTGTCTTAATGGAGCTTACATTCTAATGTTCTTCATTTCCTTATTGTAAAGAAGTTTTTGTTTCATGAAAATCATTTGAGAATTTTTCAGCAACTTTGATTAAACCATAGGCATGTAGTACCACACTCCCTAAATCAGGAGCTGATGTCCATACTCATTAGTCCTAATGTGTCTTTCTTCTTACAATTTCCATAGGTTAATATCATTCTCTACAGAACAGATTATTATCATTATTATTATTAAATGCCCAACAGACATTTTAAGTTAAAGTTCAGACTTACAATATAG